AGTCTTGAAACTCTACTCCAAAACGATGTTGTGGCCTCTGCAAGCATGGGAATCATAGCTTAAGCGCTCCGCTCAGTGAAGTGGCAGAGTATGTTCTTCTAAGGCTTTTAGAAATAGCGCCTGGAATGAACTGCTCACTGCGACTGGACCTGAGTGAAATTGGTCTACCAGAAAGAGCAGGAACGGATCTACGAGACAATGAAGGGATCCGGATTGGAGGCCCGCGTCGGATCAGCCGATCGAGAGAGAGGAGTCTGTGTGAATAGCAGGTGTGATGAGGACACACTTGATTTGCCATAAAAGGGCACACATTTTGATGAGAAGTTGTGATAGGGTGGCAGTGGGATAAGAGGTTAAAGAATAGATAGATAGACAATGACATTAGAGGAATGATTGTGTAACCCTTTTTCGGCAGAACGTTTGTCGAGGGATTGAATTCACTTTTCTCTTTGCCGAGTTCGTAGCTCGGTGTGGCGAATGGCAAAACTGACTGATGATGCCGACTACGATTCCGACGAAAAGTGTGAGAATGTGCCAAGTCCACTGTCTGATGCTGGGAATCATGACAACTAGTATGGCAGACGACTTAGGACAAGGTGCGTTCTACATAGTCGCCCTGACAACAAGACCAAGTTGCGACAATGAAGTCTACCCACTTCTAAACTGTGATGTTTAGTTTTTCCATTCTGTCTGTCATGTGGATAGGGATCGAGATGAGATGATCCTTCGTTGGTCTTCTAATAACTTTACTCACACCTTTTTATCTTTCAGCTCCAACGCCTCCCTTGGACATAAAAGTAGACCTAATTGAGTCGACCTCGGCTCAAGTGACCTGGAATCCGCCGAGCAAGATAAATGGTCTGTTGGAGTCGTTCACTGTCAACTTGGTGCCAATGGAGGCCTCTTCGCAGGCTTCTCTCGACTCACTGCAAGCCATTCCGCCAGTTTCTGTACCTCCGAACGAGACTTCCGTCAACCTGAAGGACCTTCAGCCTTGCGTGACGTATGAACTGGAACTGAAAGCGTCCACGATGGCCGATGCCTCGGGAGTTGGTGGAGGAACCTCGATGTCTTCCGCCATGTTCATGACTGCCACCGAAAGTAATTATAACTTGTTGACTTTAGCACAAAAACGGAGACCGAGCTTGTGTGCTCTCTATTCTGTTTGCCATACAGAAGCGTTTATACCTCGCTTGCGCAACCTTGTCGTGTTGTCGGTGAGAATCAGATGGGCACACCTCGTCTGAAGTATTCTGCCCAAGTAGGCATGTTAGTTTCCAGCGTAGAACCATGCACTTGGTACATTTCACAGACGCTTCGCCAGCAGGTACACATTTGAAATACGCCACTGACGATGCCGACGACGGTTTCGCCGAAGCGTCTGCGAATGTGACAAGTGCATGGTCCGATGCTGGAAAGCATCATGACTACTTTGGAATGGAATTGTGAACATGCTGGGCTTATCTGGGGCTGCCTGACAGCACAACCGAGTTGTGAAAATAAGGCAAAAGAATTTTCATAAATTTCTTCACATTTAACGGCATATCTGTTGGAATATAATTCTCCTAAATGGAAAGTGTCCCTTTTGTTGTGGGAGAAGACAGCAGACTAGTTGAAAGTGGGACTCGAATTTTTATTTTGAAGCAGACGTTGGTTGCAACGGTTTCGTGAAGTGGCCTCACTGAAGACCAAACGATGATTGCTTCTGCCGTCAGGGCTGTTGAATTGTGCGAAGAAGTCGTCGACTCCGATCACTCCGAGCTGAGTTGATGTCCGTCTCGGCGTGGCAGATTGTGTCGGAGAAATTCGGCAAAACGCTAAAGAAAAGCCGGAATCCTTTTGATGCATTTTTTCGCAAATGATCCCATCTGGCTCAGACACGACAGGGCCAATGAGGCCACATTCCAGCCGAAATTGCCCTCGTAACTAAAATTCGAGTAGCACTTAATCATTAAAGGAGTATTCGTTACATAAACCAGTAAGAATTAAATATACAATTATTTAAGTTTGATTTATTTACAATGGGCAATTCTTATAAAATAGGAAGCAAATAAATAGTGAGAGAAATCCATTTGATCAGCAAACCGTCCTACAAATGCATTCGCAAGCACAGTTTTTGCTATTTTAATTAAGAAAAATTGGGTTTCGATGAGTTCCTTGGTGAGTTATTGAGACATAACTTGCATTTCAAAGGAAAATTTGCTCGGAAGGAATTCATGAAATGGTTTCACCCAAAACTGAAGGAGCATTTCTGCCGAGTGGAGACTGTTGGATTTTCCCGAGAAGTCCAGACCGTTCATTTTATGAATTCCTTCGAGACGAGTTTTGCTTTGAAATGTAATGTCATGCCACAATTTCTTCATTTTTGTCATGACTTGGCATCCTATAAAGCATTAATATTGGAATGCTTCTGTCCTTGAAACATCATAGACTTTCAATTCGTGTTAAATTGTATCGGCTGAACAATGCTCTATGTTGATTCCGAATGCTCCAGCCCTCGGTTGAACAGTTTAGGAATTGACACTTACTGAATAGTGAGCTGACTACGATTACCAACAGTGCGTGGCATCAGAAAATGGTGGTGAATCACCTCTGATCGTCATGCCGATGCAACCGTCGAAAAATCATTCTTAGGTTTCGATGAATAATTGTTGACCTTTTGTTCACCCTGTCGCTTGGCAAGCGTCATTAAAGCTAAACTTTACACTTTTAACAATTTAAAAGTTACACCGACTTAAAGAAACTAATTGGCGTATTCAAAAAAAATTAAATGTCTGCAAGTATATGTTGGTTTAGTTAGTTATTATATTTTACGCCTATTTATGCTTATTCACACATTTGAAGACCAAGATGGTTGAACTCTCTTTTCGTTGTATGGAAGTGGTCTTATCCCGCTTTATCCATTTAATCACATTATCCGGAATCTTCTGCCACGTTAAGCATCAGCATTTTCAGCGTCGGTATGGAAATTTGGTACACTCTTATACATTTCGCCAACACCATATTTGCTATCGTCAGTAAGCCCGGCAGCTCCGAGTGCCAGATTAAAAATTCCTCCTTGTGTGTATTCCGCAGGTGTACCCTCCTGAAAGTGAGGCGTAATCACATCTTTGCACCCGTTTGATTCAGAAGTGATGATCTGATTTGGCCCTTTAATTGGGTAGCGAGGAAAGGTTGACCCTCTTGGTTTGCAATTGTTGGACTCACTTGCATTTTGTCTGAAATTCTGTGAATTATGCAGAGAATGGGGAGTCGATCCCATGAGAAGACAGTCGCCGAATGGCTTTGCAGGAACATTCTTGTTGAAGCTGTTTCCGAGACAATCTCTTTCCATTAAGGTGAAGGAATACTAACCCCTCCTCCGTGGTATGACGGATATCATTAGACAAGGTAATTATTTTCGCAACTATATTCAAGATGACGTATTAATACAACTCA